TAATTATCATCACATATACATTTTCATAGATAGATACATATTTAGCATGTATATCAACAGTACATAATAGAGAAGAGTATGACACCATTTTAACGGGTGATACTCCATTAGGAGTGTTCCCAACTTTAATGTCATTAATGGTCATAATAACATTTATATACATATATATATTGGTCATATATTAGTTTGTGGTTTACTGTCATTTAGGTTAGGGTTATGGTTAGGGTTAGGGTTAGGATTATCAATCATTAATCATTAATCATTAATCATTAATGATATCAAAGTTGGGAACACTCCTAATGGAGCGTTAGCCGTTTTAACAGCGTTTTGCATAGTTTTCAACTTGTAAATATTCTATCAATATGTGAATAAATATATTCAAACTTTACCTATGATTCTCCCTCAATCATATGACACCACCAATTTACCTGAAAATCGTATGTGTTCTTCAAAAAAGTTCTTTGAATACGACACGGTTTCACACAGTTTTCACAAAGGGTCGCATCTGTTTGGCCATAGTTTATTATTGGGTTAGTGTTCTATTGTCTATGACGGAATGCTGGGGGCTGCTGGGGAGATTAGGCATAGAAATTAGAATTGTATTCAGCGTGTAGTGTTTCCAGCATGCTAAAAATAAGTGTGTTCTCATGACGAGCTAGCAGCTGATTTTAGCTGTGTTGCCATCGTGTTCCTGATGATAATGCCCGGCGCACACGTGAGTTATTTTACTAGTGTAAAATGACGCATGAGGCGGATTTTTGTTTAGTAATTTGACGCATGCGTCATTTTACTCACGTGTGCGGCGGATTTTCGTTGAGTAATTTGGCGCATGCGTCATTTTACTCACGTGTGCGGCGGATTTTCGTTGAGTAATTTGACTCGTGCGTCATTTTACTTGAGTAAAATAACTCACGTGTGCGCCGGGCATAAGGAAGCGAAACAAGTGCTGTTACTGTGCTTACCTAATATCCCCAACACCCCCCAGCGTCCCGTAGTTACAACCTGGTGCTGCCGCCGCTATATCAAGTTCGGCCGCGGAGATGCAAAAGTTTGGGAAAACTGTGTGAAACCGTGTCGTATTCCAAGAACTTTTTTGAAGAACACATACGATTTTCAGGTAAATTGGTGGTGTCATATGATTAAGGGAGAATCATAGACGAAAACAAGGTAAAGTTTGAATATATTTATTCACATATTGATAGAATATTTACATTTTGAAAACTATGTAAAACGCTGTGCGTGCGTGCGTGCGTGCGTGCGTTTAATTGTAATTGGTCCATCCATCCATCTGTTAATCCATCCACCCTCTCAATGTCACTCGATCCCTCTTATCTCTGCTCCACCTCTCTCTTTCCTCCACCTGCCAGCGGCAGTTAATGTAAGCGGGCTATAGTACTAGAGCTATAATAGTTACGGTTATTTATGCTATCGTGAGTGTCAATGACGCAACAAGAATGAGCACAATGCATCTATCACAAAGCAAATGCGATAGTACATAAGTCATTACAAATCATCACACTGCGTCGAGTGTAATAAGTCATAACTATAGTCATAACACTGTAACATGATAATTATAACAGCTCCTTGGAATATATAACGATGACCATAGTACGTTAATTGTCAGATAGGTGGCCACCACCATAAACTGTATATATTGATGGCACCAGTCTCACGGCATGATATGTAAACTAAAGTAGATTCCGGTGTTTTGCCCATCTAAACTAGAAAATTCGTAGATGGGTAATCAACTACTTTACTCCGTATATACAAATGGTCGTGTCTGTGTTCGACGTACGTCTATCACATGTGTAAACTTCTGCTTCGACTTCCGTACACATGTTTCACGTCGTGGTTGAATAAAACTTCAAGAAGAAACGCAAATCTCGAGTTATCCTAAACACTATGTCTTTTATTGATAAATTAAGAGCAAACTGGTTTCTATTAGGAATAATAATTGTTATAGTTTCTGCCAAGTTTAATCCTGAAATTGGGAAAAAAGGAGGTAGGCACACTAGACTGACTAGTCAGTATAGCTCCAGGAAACGGTATTGCTAGGGTTAGAATACCCCTATTGACGTTAGTCACACAGCCTGGTCGGGTTATAGTCAGTAGTACTACTAGTAGTAGTAGTACTGGTAGTGCTCAAAGTAGCGTTTACACACCCATGTCGTGTGTCGTGATGTGTGTGTGTGAATTGGCCCTGGTAGTCACCTCAGTCAGTCGGTCAGTCACACTAATTAATTAGTCAGTGTGTCACTATAGATTAGATTTTGATTTTTTAGATTTTGAAATTTATTTACGCTTTCAAGTATATTACTATTAGTATTATTACATTGTTACATATGATATATCATTATCACAACAATAGGGCCTACCTACTTTACTTACTAAGTTACTGTAACTAGACTGTAGTAGTAGTACTAGTAGTAGTAGTAGTACATACATAAAATGCTACATACGCGCAATCTTCCGATCTGCGCAATCTTAAGATTGCGCTGCGTATTCTTAAGCCAGCCTTAGGTCGGCCTTGCGATGTGACGCGATTGCCTGCGACGATCTCGTCACAGGGATAGTTCGACCTAAGCACGCCTGCGACTGCCAGCGATGGGTCTGTGATGCTCAGTGACTGGAAAATGGTCAGTTGCAGCGAGTAGCGCATGTTCTACTTTTGCGACGAGATGGGACTGTTTCCACCCGTCGCTTGCATTGTGATTGTGCCTTGCGACCGCTGCGACGTGATTCGATTCACGAGTGCATATAATGAACAATGCATAAAAGCGAACAATACGAATGAAACAATCAGTGCATACAGTCATGTACACAACATGTACACAGGAACAAGTCATGTAAACTCATTTAGTTGCGCGATCTATATAGTATAGGCAATCGTCGCTTCGACCCAAGCACCTTCTGCGACTGCCAGTGTTAGTTGCTGTTAGTCGGAGTCGCTGTCGATCTAAGCACTCAGCCGCAGTGAGTTGCAATTCGTCGCATCACATTCAATTGCAATCCGACCTAAGGCCGGCTTTAAGATCGCGCAGCGCAATCTACCGATTGGCCCAGTTTTACAGCGCTTGCTGGCCAGCGGGGGTTGGGGTGCTAGAGTTCGATAAGTTGGCGCAGGCCTGTTTTTGTAGGATTTGTAAGCAGACATGTTTGGGCCTTTCTGATCATCTCTGACTCTCGGTGAAATTGTAAAGTTGAGGTTAGATTAACAGTTACTTGTAAGTAACATATTTAGATTAGTCTAGAACACTTTCTTCTAAGAATAAAAATGGAAAAGTGGAGTAAGTGTATCGATTACTTCGTTATTAATAAGATGTAAAGAATGCGCAGCGGAATCTCGAGATTGCCGCACAGTCTGCTGATCAGTAGGTTGCGCAGATCGGAAGATTGCGCGCAACAGTAGTGCTACTCGTACTACTAGTAGCTATATATTTACAATAATGTAACCCAAGGTTAGACCCACTACAGGGCATACAATAAAACTTGTCAATATTTTGTAATATGAGTGATTAGTCCACTTAATTATCATCACATATACATTTTCATAGATAGATACATATTTAGCATGTATATCAACAGTACATAATAGAGAAGAGTATGACACCATTTTAACGGGTGATACTCC